AGCATGCACAAGTTAATAAAATATAGCAAAATATTTATACTTATAAAATTAATTATAAGTAATTAATAATTATAAATTAAAATTAAAAATAAAATAATTTATATTTAGTAATAATATTTATTATATTTTTAATGGTATATTGTACCTTTTAATGTTTTCACTGCTACAATTCTTGACTTGCTCTTCATCATAAGTTGTCCTTTATAAACTAAACCATATTCACCTGTTGAAAATAATAAAAAATAAATAAAAAGTAAATTTTTAATGGATAAGCTTGTACCTTTGCCAATAGTCTCCATGAGTTTCAGGTTATTACTGGTTATTATAATGTCGTTATTAAGTACATCCAAATGTTCAGAACTGACACTAACTGTCTGACAAGCTAATAGTAATAATAATAATAATAATAATAATAATAATGATGATGATGATGATGATGATTATACTTACCAGTAAGTTGGCTGTAGCGAGGAATATTTAACTCCATATCGCCATCAAGGGAAGCAGTTTCGCCATAAAATAAACTAAAAAAATTATAAAAATATAATAAAAAATGGGACTGATTTTGGAGAAAAAAAACCATGGGCTATAGTACAGGGTATTTTTCAGATTTTGGCCCATTTTTTCAAATGGCCATAACTCAAAAAATTGAAGTCGGGATTGACTCAAACTTTCTACATAGCATAAGTACATCAATATGTATCAGAAAATGTAATAAAAATTGGGGGTGATTTCGGAGCCATTTTTTGGAAAAAACCATGGGCTATAGTACAGGGATTTTTTTAGATTTTGGCTCATTTTTTTAAATGGTCGTAACTTAAAAAAATTGAAGTCGGAATCGGCTCAAACTTTCTACACAGCATAAGTACATCAATATGTATCAGAAAATGTAATAAAAATTGGGGGTGATTTTAGAGCCATTTTTTGGAAAAAACCATGGGCTATAGTACAGGGATTTTTTCAGATTTTGGCTCATTTTTTTAAATGGCCGTAACTTGAAAAATTGAAGTTGGAATCAGCTCAAACTTTCTACACAGCATAAGTACATCAATATGTATCAGAAAATGTAATAAAAATTGGGGGTGATTCCGGAGCCATTTTTTGGAAAAAACCATAGGCTATAGTACAGGGATTTTTTCAGATTTTGGTCGATTTCTTAAAATGGCCGTAACTTAAAAAATCGAAGTTGGAATCGGCTCAAACTTTCTACACAGCATAAGTACATCAATACGTATCAGATAGAATTATAAAACTAGTATATGTCCTTTTAAAAATTTTCCAGTATCTCACCATTTATCACCAGATGGTCTCCGATCATAGGTTTGATTGTATAAATCCAGTTTC